CCGCCTCCCCAAGCGCATGCTGTTAGGAGCGATGGCGGGGGGCGTGGGATACCGGGGCGGGTAAGAGAGCGACTGGGTGTCTCGTCTAGGTGATGACCTCGCGGCCTTCAACATGGGAGACGAAAAGGAAGGGGGGAAATGGAAAGAGAGCGCCAAGGACCCGGAGGTGTGGTACAACAAGGTCGAGGACGTGGCGGCATGGTTCATAAGGAAATGGCACAGGCAGGAGGCGGAAGCGTCCGCGAAGCGCCAGCGCGCGAGGGAAGCAGAAGCAGAGAGTACGGCCATCTCAGGACCGAAGAGAAAGAAAGTCGGGGAAGCGGCGGTGGGGGGGAAGAAACGGTGACCGGGCACTGCTGTAGAAGCGAGTAGGGCGGCCGAGGCAGCACTTGTGGCGAACTATGTACCCGGCTGATGTTGTTGCGCCCTGTTTACCTCCCTGCCGTATGCTTTCCTCCTTTATGTTTGTCCTTTGTATTGCCTTCGGCCTCTGTGCTGTGTTTCTTTTTTGTTCATGTCCTCCCTGCCTACTCTGCTGTGTTGGGTACCTTGGTCTCGCTTTTTTTGCTGTTGCTTGTGTTTTTTGTACATGTGGCCGTCTGCCCTTCTGCCGCCCCGTTGTCCTGTTTGCTCCGTAACTTCCATGCCCTGGTGCGTAGTGCCTGGTGCTGATACGTTACCCTTTGATTTTTTCTTTAGGCGGGTGTGGGAAGCGTCCTCCTTTATATATGTTTTTGTTTAGTTTTGATCGGTTTCCTAGAGCTCTTTTCTCGAACGGTCGGTGCGGTACCTGTTATTTCCTTTTTATCATTTTTTTTCTTTTTCCGAGTGGTTTGTACCCTATTTTTGTTTTTTTTTGTTTCCCCGCGGCGTCGTATGTGTCGGGTTTTGAGACCACGGGCTCCCCATTTTTTGTGGACTATAGAGCTAATGTGAGAAGCAACAACAAACAACTACTGATGTACACTTGATTCCGCAAGAAAATGTATAAAACCCCTTCACCTCACCGCCATTGTTCGGGTTTGGACGCTTTTTGTTTCACGTTACTTGAACGACAATACAATACTTCCGTCATACTCCATCCGGTACTACACTCGTACTGGTGATGCCAATAAGGGGTTACTTCTCGACCACAGGAGGAGGTTGATCCCTCGGTCGTCTGTAGACAGGCGATCTCTCCGGAGCAGAGGTGGGGACCACGAGGTAGACGAGGGACGGGGAGAGTTTTCTGGGAAGAGGCGACGGTGTCGGATGTGGGATCCGAGGAACAGATCATGAGTGACCAAGTAGGGGCGGGGAAAACGAGAAATGCATGCATGTGTTGAAGCACGGCGTGTCGTGGAAATGTGGCGCTTGAAGAATGGAGCGAAACCGGCCGAAACACAAAGCGTATTCTTGCTTAGCAGCTGTGTAGATTTTCGTGTGGCGCTGCCATGGTACTTGTACGAGTGTAAACATGGCTGTCATGTTGTCGTGCGGCACAGCAGAAGAAGGCGCTCGTGCTGTGTTTGTGTCTTTCTTGTTAGCATCGACCGTGCTAACCGGCTGACCAATGAAAATAAGTCAGTCTCAAGTGCGGTGGAAATCTCAAAAATGCTTCTATGGCCACGATCTGGGACCCAGTGACCGAGCTTCATATCGGAAAGTCGACGCTACTCGCAGGATGAAAGGCAGATACCGTACCAATAACTGAAGAAAACTGTACTCGTTTGCCATGGCTGCTATTGCCATGGATGCGCGTGCGTTTTGCATTGTTTTCGTCGTCTTCCCTGCATTTCGTACCGCCACTCTCGTTGGCGGGTCCTCTCCAGTCTTGAGGCGTTTGTTGCGAGGAAGGTCATCTGGCTCCTTTGAGGCTCAAGCCCTTTGCTCTCTCCCACGCCATATTGTCCTCCACATCATCGCCTCCATTTCTTTCCTTCCCTTTCTTTCATCATCGCCATTCTCTGTGTGTGTGTGGACAGGGGGCGCCCGTAGATTCCTCACACCGTGCCCTCGAAAAGAGTGCGAGAGACGAGTACAGAGGGGTGGAGAGCCGGATATAGCCTAGACAGAAGAAGAGAGAGAGAGACGAAAGACGACTTACTCCGTGGAAACGAAAGAGGAGACCCAGCTGGAAGTTTGTGGTGAAGACCCTCGCTGTGCATGCCCAAAGTCTAGAAACTGAAAAAAAAACGCGATCTTCTCTTCCTCCCCCCCCCGGTATTTGCCATCGGGGTTGGGTTTTCGTCGCTTGGCAACGACGTTGTAAAACAAGCCAATTCACTTCGTGAACTCGGCAACCAGGTTACCGGGGGGGTTTTTATCTCCGTTTGTTTTTTTTGCAGTACAGTCGAGGGACCCTTTTAGTGCCGGTACGTGCGCAGAGCGTTCACCGGCACTAAATCGGGCACCCGGCACTACTGCGAATAGTGCCAAAACGGCACTATTGAGGGCTGGCCAATCCCTCATTAGTGCCGGTACCGGCACTAATGAGGTTGTGTTCGATTTATGGTGTAGCGCCCACGCTTACGGGGCCAACAAAGAACGAAATGGATCGACACTATTACTGTACTGTTGAGTGAAGTTCCAGCATGGGCGTGGGCAGAGTTGAGTTTTCTTTTTGTTGTCTTGGGGCGCTCTTTGGTTCTTCATTTTCTTCTGCACCTCACTTATTTGCTTATTTGTGTACTGTCGTCGGGACAAATTCTCTCCTGTTTGCCTGGCGCACCCGCTTCGATGTTGCAAGAAAAAAAAAAC